TCTCTTTGCTTAAGCAAGAATTTAATTATGTCGAATGCAATAAATTTTGAATTTTTTCTTTGAATAATTATTGTCGATTTTAATAATATTTGTTCATTGAAAAGTAATGGTAGCAATTATATTTCTCTCATGTTAGAAGGAACTATTATAAACAAATAAATTATGTTTTAGTTAAAATTGAATATAGTCATACTCTTGTATATTCTATTACATTCTAATTGCTTTCTAATTTTGCATTTTTCATTCTAAAATTTCATTGTAATAGTATAATTTCTATTAGTCATAAAAATCGAATTATTTATTTCTAAATAATTACTTATATAAATATATCAACGAAACTTACTAATTATAATACCGATATTGCATGGAAACAATTAGAACTTCTTTTGCAATATTATAGTATTAGAGTTTCACAAAACATATAGAAAACCTTATATTAATTAAATATTTTGCAATTTGATTTAAAACCTAACAATTTCACTAAATAATTAAATTTTATTACGCATAGTCCCTCTCCCTTTCTAATACTAACTAAATATAATTTTATATAATTTTTATAATTACATTTAATAATTATTTATTTTATGATTTTTAATATTTTTTTGATGGTCATAAGAAACATGAAATCACTTGATTTCTTAATGGTAAAAACGTGCTTTAAATCTTGAAACCATAAATGAAAAAAATACTTGACTTACATATTGATAGTTATTCTAATATATTCTTATATTGTTAATATTAAAATCGTTAAAAATATCGATCGCCACTTACCTCTCAATAATCGTAAATCCTTTAATCACCGAGATAATTAAGTCCTATCCAACTTGGTTCCTAGAGAAAATTGTTTCTCCGGCTTGTGTCAAAGTAAAATCGTATCGTTTCATTTCTACGACGTGAAAACAAAAATATTTTTCCGTCTTTCAGTTGTGTTCCCTGCAGACCACCAAGTCGATACCGAAGGAAAACAATTTGTCAATGAGACGTTTCCGTCGTGATATCGAGCTTTCCTTCCAATTTATCCGATTTTTCGCAGTACTGCGATATAATTTAATATTATAAGCATCATGGCTTCATATTTTATTATTGGCTTAATTGGCTAATAAGACTCGATCAAGTAATGATATGCTTAATAATGTTATGAAGATATCGATATTTGATACGTCTTTTCAAATTTTATTTTCTTACATTTAACATTATTCCTTCCAAATTTTATTTTCTTACATTTATTTTATTAATTTATTTATTTATTATTAATAAATTTATTTATTAATTAATTTTATTCCTTTCAAATTTTATTTTCTTACATTTAACATTATTCCTTCTAACTACATTTCTTCTTTTTTCCTTCCTTATAAATGTATAAATCTTTTTATAAAACGAAAGTTCAGATTATTTTCATTATCATGTGATCTTTTCATTAAATTTTGTTGTAATCACAAAAATAATACATTTATTAATGAAAAATTGTTAATGATCGAGTTGAGATTGTAATTATTATAATTGTCTATATCAAATGTGATAAATTCTAATGATATTAATTAATTTTAATATAGACATATTAAATTTACCAAAAGTAGAAGTTAGAAACTATACCTACATATTTTATAAATATTTAATATTTTAAAATATTTATTTATTGAATCATTTTCAGGAAAAATTATAGAAATATTGCTTCATATAAATAGCAAATAACCATTGATTTAAATTTTTATATTATAATGCATAAATGATGCATATAAATTTACAAGAAAATTTTTGAAATAAAATAGTATGATTAATACTACTTAATTTGTGGAATATTATTTGTAGTAATTATATTCGTAATAATATTCAATAATTTGTCAAAAATGGAACTTAACAATTGAGTAACATCGCGAATCTGCTTAAATAAACAACGAATTATTTTTAACGAATAAACCTGCGAATAAATATATTCATTTCAGCAAATGTCATCTATAGTATCCAAAATCCACGTATCCTCTCACGGTTGAATATACATTCGATTCTGTCATTGCGCAGTTATAGAAGTTCAAGCTAATACCACTATCGAACCAATCAGTCGTCCTGGTAAAGTTCTCTGTCTTCTCTCTCTCAATAATGAAAATGGACATAATCTTTCAGAACAATTATTATCAAAGTATGTGCCAGTGATACACGGAAATTATTATAGTAACTTCTTTTTTACTGCTATATATGTATGATGATAATTCTGCCATTAATAATATTTGATTATTATTTGGTCATTATACATATACAAATTTTTTCACTTTAATACAATGTAAGAAGATTAATTAAATTTAATTAATTTAATTGGTTAAATTGTTTTTTTTCTATTTTATTCATGGTTAAAGTAATTAATTGTGTGAGTGAGCACAAATAAAAAAAAAATGTTGTCGTATTAAGGTTTATTTTATTCACACAAGCATCGAATTTTCTAGAAGTTGTTTATTTGCTATTCAAAGTATAAGTTCATTTATTATTATATGTCTTCTGGAAATTATTATTTATCCAAAATGTGAGCTCGCATAAAAAAATGAATTGATTTAATATCTAATTATAATGAATGTAATTTGTAATGTTCAGTTACTGCTTCATTACGGTTAATTAATTGAAATACTTACTTTCATCTTCTTAATAAGTTTCTCAATTAAATTTTAATAAATTTCCTTCTAACACAATTGAAACTTTTGCAATCTTCGAAGAAGTTATTTGAGGTTTAAATTGCTTACTTCCTATTTGAAAAATAGAGAACTGAACATAGTTTTGCGTTGCTGCTGAATGTATAAAACTTAAATAAAAGAAAATAAATTCACATCTATCTTGTTTTCAGCTTTCTTTTAAATTTCAACTTGAAAATTACATCTTTTTAGATCATCTAGAGCGACAAAAGAAAGTTGAAGTTAAACGACCGAAATTAGTCCGTTCATTATGTAAAAATATTTTTACTATATTTTCACTATACAAAATTCACTATTTAATTTTACAATAATAATGATCTGTCAATTTCACCTGAAATATAGTGTATATTTTGTTATATAAATAAATATAATATATAAATAAATATTATTATATAAATATAATATATATAAATATTATATCAATTATATTATAATAATTATATTATTTATATAATATATATAAATAAATATAATATAAATAAATATTATTTATTTGTTACCTAAGGGATTTTGTGCATATTGTAGAACTAAGTTTGAATAAAAATTGAACCAATTAAATAAAGGAATACATATTGTACGTAAAATGTCTTTTATTAATTAAATAGTAAACTTCTGTATCGAATCTTGCAATAATAACTGATCCAGCATGTTTCATTAGTGGAGTTTAAATCTTCACTAAATTTACAACTGATGTCTATCTTAACAAGAGAATCCATTATAGACAGTTTCAATATAAAATATAAATAAAATTTGTCACAAATCCCTTGTAAAATTGATATAAGATTGTAATAAGAAAATAGATGTCCAATATATCTATAAATCTATCCATAATTATTTCAAACTTATTAATACTTTCTAATTGAATTATTTCATATTACTAAGATATATCAAATATAAGAATTTTATTTAAAAGCAAAAGTTTATTTCAGGTTTGGTATTAACGTAGTGATATAATTTAAATGATGTTTATTATATTAAATAACAAAGAAAACGGAAACAAAACAACAAATAATAAAAACAAGATAAACAACAATAATTCAAATAAATTCAAACGACACAATTAATTCTTTTATACAACACAAATGACTCTTTTAGACCATTCTCATTCAACGCTCTTTCACGACTCTGCCTCATTCTGTTTTTTCGCTCGCATGATTTCCCTCTTTTCACATTCATACTTTCTCGTTCACACATCTCCAGCAAACAGGTCATCTATTAAAAGTAAAAGTAATTAAAAAATATAACTACACGTTATAATAATTTCGATACCACATTAATTAAGTGGATAAAAATTTGCAATACTTTTTTTTTTCTCTGGGAATACAAAAGAGAATTGTCAAAATAGAAAGATAAACATGAGATTTAGGAGATCCATCTTCGATGACCTTGATTTTCACTTTTAGTGACCTTTAAAAACCTTTAATCATCACTCGTCATTTGTTGAAAAATTACGAGCTAGAAATTAAATTTTATTTATAAAAGAATCGACCTCACCAATTTCAATAACAATGAAATATATACATTGTCAGAAGTGTAGTTCTGAATGTTACCAGTTGAGAATTTATCTCAAACCAATACCCATATGTATCTTTTTAAAAAGAACTTGCTACTTTTTTGCTTATTGGTTTGGGTTAAACAAAATCTCGGTGGAATCGATAGTATGTATACAGGATAAATCACCTAAAACTAAAAGCTAAAATATTTTCGAAATGATTGATTATATTCAAAAATGTTTTAGACAAAAATAAAATGATTTCAAGAGGAGCATTAATTTATATAATTATTACTTTTTAATGTTGATGCATGGAAGGTATTTGAAGGTCGTTTGCTTTTTTTTGAGTGAAATATTTTTTTAATAAATTATTCGATTCAGACTCACAGATATTTGAGTAGTTTGGAGTTAAGAGTTGAGTTACTCCTCCATAGAGGAATTTAATTCAGACTGAAGATGAAAAATTTATGTGTGATTTAAAAAAGATTTATGAAGGATTTAATTCAAAGTCCAACATTATAGAGACAAATTCTTTTATTATAAAGTAAGAGAAAAATTTTTTCTCTTAATTTCTCTTAATCTCTATCATACATTTTTGTTGCAATTTACATGATTAAGATTAATATTTTTGACATTAAGACCTAAATATTATTAATTAGGCAGTAATTAAAAAACATTTTTAGTAATGTTTATAATAATGTTTATAATAAATAATTAATAATATTATAAATAAGCATTTATATGTTTATTTGCAGAAACTTAGTAATTGTTGTTTTTTATATTATTTTTATCATTACAGGTACTTTTATCTCAAATAAAGCAAAATAAAAATGGAAAATAATATACTTCATGGTCTGCCAATAAAAGAAATACCAAATATAACTTTAGGGAAACATATATTCGATTGTCTACATTCCAATGGCGAACATATTGTGCAAGTAAGTTAATTATTTTTAAAACAGAATCACTTACTTATCGGATGTTGTGACACATTAAATTAAAACTAAAAAAATAAAATTGTTTATTCCATTTTTTGAAAGTATCATAGAACTCTGCTTGTATAAATTTTTCGAGGTACAAATAGTTTATATAATAAATAGTCTATATTGGAATTTATATGATAAAAATCCACTGATTTTTTCATATAATGCTGTTATAATAAGTGGATTCAACTAGAAAGAATTTATTCAATCTGGTATTTGATCTGCTATTTAAAATTTGATTCAAATAAAAGTTCACAAACATAAACGGATTATTATTGTACTTTAAAAATGTGTTCCTAGATTTTTATATTTAACCATAATAATAACGGTGAATAACAAAATAGTGATTGTTAGATTACATTTAATTTTTCATGTATTTAGAAAATTTGAAACTACAAAGATGCATACTATGATATTTAATTGTCTATCTAAGTTCCATTTTTTGAAATTGTATTCATAAAAATATGAATTTGTATTAAATCCAATAATTACTATATGTTGAATGAATTACTAAAGCTAATAATCATTGGAACCTCATTTCATTTTAGAATTCAGAAGCAAATAACAATTAATATTATAAAAACTTTATTGCAAAATTTTATATATTATACAACTGTAATAGGAAGGAACAATTTGCATATACGAAAATCAATACTTATTTATGTTCTTACAATTCAGTTCTTACAGTTCTTAGAACTAGTCACAATAGTCACTAATTGTAATATAAATAAGTATTGACTTTCGTATATGTAAATTATTTTGTTTCATCATATGATAACGATCTAGTTATATTATTTTCGGTTGACAAAAATGATTTTTATAATATGTATATGTTAATATGGTATATTTATTTATGATATATTTATTTTTTATTATTAATTTTGGAAAAAGTTTTCTTTGCTTTGTAATATTGTTAAAATATCTATTCGATAAACATCGTTTCAGTTAGACGAAAATTTTTATCCCGCGTTTAGTATACCTTACGTAATTCTAATTTAATCATTTTTCATCGTTTAATCTTTTTTTTTTTAACAAATAATTTTGAGGGCCTCGTAGTTAAGGCCCCTGCACATACACAAAATTTGAAGAAGAAGTTAAATCATAATTTCATTGCTTTTGAATTGAAACATATTTCTTATAATTCTCGTTACAAAATAAATCTTTTTAGTATTTGACATTAAGCTCGTAATGAATAATTAAAAACTAATACATATTCATTGTGAATAAGCGACTTGTATTATAATTATTTTAATATTACGATTAGCTATATTAGCATAGGTACTTTCGGAATGATAAGCAGGTTCATTAAAAAAAAAAAAAAAAAAAAGAAAAATAGGTTTGTTTATATGAAATGGCTTATATGAATCACTTGTAAAATGAATTGGTAAGTCACTTTTATTATCATATTCTATATTGTAATATTTGAGTATTATTATTATTTTAGATAGATGCTAATACTAATAGACACTACACCTGCAAGGATATCCTTGAGAAAAGCATAATAGTATCTAATGCTTTGAGGAATTATGAGATCAACGTCGAAGACAGAATTTCTATTGCTGCGGAAAATCATCCAAATTACATGATAGTAATGTGTAGCTCATTATTCATCGGAGCTACATTTGCACCGCTGAACCCGGCATATACAGAAAGTAAGATATGTAAAATAAATTATCATTAAATAATAAAGATATCTATGTAAACAAATATTTGTATTGCATTTGTGTGTATATTTAATACTATAAAAAAATTTAACAAAATAGGAATATAAAAGAATAGTAAAAAAGTAGAAAAGCTTTTTTTCAAGAAAGCTGATCAGTCAATTGATTATGCCGTAATAAATTAATGAAAAATATTTCAATTCAAGTTCATCGTAGAATTTCACAATTATTAGAAAAGGAGTTCGATCAATTAAATATTCATTGATTTATTTATTTTCAGAATTAATAATAAAATTTTAGATACTATATTTATTTCGAGACTATATTTAAAAATTTGACGCAATAATTGTTAGTAACAAATTATTTGATATTTGCATATTAAAGTATAATAAAAAGTTATTTATAAACTAAAGTTTATTTATAAATTTTTATTTTATTTTATTAAAAATTTATTTTTATTGAAACTTTAACTTCCTTAAATATAAATTTAAACTTAACATATAGAATAAACTAACATTTACATTCCATATTTTATGAATATATAATATAAATATTAAGTCGTATAATTTGACTATTCTGAATAATTTTCGAAAATAACTATTCTATAAGTTATTCTAAAGAATTGTTTTAATTTTTATATCGAAGAAATCTTTCGCAAAGCTTCCTGGATATTTATAAATCTTTTTATAAATCTTACAATTTGTAAATTATTCGGAATAATGCGATTCAATACGATTCAATATTATCAAACCATATTTAACGTACAATTTTTATTCTAGGAGAATTTAAACATATGTTGGAAATTTATCAACCACGAGTACTATTTATATCTCGACGTACCGAAAAGATTTTAGCGAAAATTGCATCTACTTTGAGCTGGAATATAAAATTAATAGAATTGGACGACAAGTCTCTTGATGAAAATATAATAACATTAAAGGAAATTATGGAGAAATATAGAAATATCATGGATCCCAATACGTTTTTACCAATACAAATAGATGACAACAGTAAGAAAATGGCAGTTATTTTCTGTTCCAGTGGTACAACGGGCTTTCCAAAGGGAGTGATGTTATCCCACAAAAATTTATTAGTTTTCATGCAAACTGCAAAGTAAATAACGTTAAATTAATATTTTATATAAACACAAGTCCTTATAAATAGATTTTTAACTATCTAATATTTAATCTTCGTCCGTCCATTGTAACAATTTGATACAGTTTTTCTTATAAAAATGTTAAATTATTTTACCGCACTTGTGCAGGTATAGTTATCTAGACATCTACTTTATGAATATAACATACAATAAGGAGTATAGCTAAACACATAATAATGAAAAATTGTTGATACTTTAATTTGTTATAATTCTGTGAAACGGAAAAATTATTTTGTTTGAAAACATAAAGTTATTTTGATTGTTCAGATCGTATTTTTTATAAACGGGTGATAAAGCAAAAATATTTTTTTTCTCGAAAACTGTAAAAATTCAAAGCTCTTTGAAAACAATAAAAAAAATATTTTTCATGACTAGATCTTGAAGAATCTTCTTTTTACAATGATCTCTTAAATCCTGTTGTATGACTTTTCTTTTAGCATTTTATTGAACTTTGAATACTCGGATTAAATGTTAGGACATTTTGTCATTTAACCCTAAGTTCAACAAAGTTCAAAGTGAAGAAAAAAATTACATAGCAAGTTTTAAGAAGTTATTGTAAATAGAAAATTTCAATTTTCAAAATCATGGTTCTAGTCTAGCGTCAATAATTAGATGACCAGGCATTTGGCTCTTTTTTTTTTTGGAAGATGGAGAAATACTACTAACATACTAAAAACTCCACTAAAACATACTAAAAACTAGTATACTAAAACTCCACTTTGTATTATGCTTGAGATGACAGGCAGCTGCGTTCGTTTAGACAATTCTCTTCATTAGCCAACTCTAGTCTGTTCGATGTTTGATCGCCATGTAGTTGTTGCACGATTGAATTTCCAAAAAGAACTGACCCCCCCCCCC